AAAAAAAAAAAAAAAAAGAATTAGTGCCCAGTCTCACACTAACCGAATTTTTCTGGTAATGAAGAAAAAATTGTAAATCTAATTCTGCAAATAACATATTGCATTAATGGATGTCAATTCTGCAAGTAGGTAAATCTTGCAGTATTTGAATTTTTTATTCAGAGTGCTTTTATTTTTCAGGCTGAGGGGAACAGAGGTCAAGGACTTTGGAAGCTCAAGGTCATCCTGTCATCGGTCACTCTCACTAGATGATTGCTAGTATCAGTCTTCTGGAGGGAGGATGACCATCTGATAAAACAGAGATTTGTGGTTATTTATTTAGTTAAGCTGTTGTCCCACAGTTCACAGTGCAGCTGTTTTTCGGCAGTTTTAGATGCAGCTGTTGTCCAAGTGATGCTCTTGGGGCGCAGTTCACAGGGCAATTGTTCAACAATAAAAATTGCCCTTTTTTTTTTGGCATGATAAAGATTGCAATTCTCAACAGACCTTAGTGCAATTTGAACTGTTATAAAACACATCTGAAATGACGTAAAATTGCCAGGCAGTTGAGGTTTGCATGGTCCTGGAATGCAGTCCCTTTCATACAGTATATTAGGGAAAAATGGTTAACCTTTATATTATATTTTAGTGTGCATTCTCATTAACACCATTGCTCTACATAGGTCAACCCGCTTTTGCAGGGAGTCTCACTGAGTGCAATCAGCTTAACAGATTTCCACTTCGCCTCCTTGCTTCAGTAAAACACAGAAGCTAGTGATTATACAAGTACGTTGGAAACAAAAAGAGGTGTGTCATTCAGTTAAGCTGATTGCACTCAGTGAGAGTCCCTGCAGATTTAGTTCAATCCATGTAGACCGATGATGTCTATTGGAATGGGGTCCTAGACCTTCAATATGACAAATCTGTTTTGGAGATATGTTTATGTCAGTGAGACGTTTTGCAATTAAGGTTTTGAAAATTATCCATGTTATAGTGGATTATGTGTAGAAGTATTTTAATACTTATATTTAATAATAATATTAAAAATTTGTACAAACGTGGAAGATGCAACTTCAGTTCTAAGAGACAGGTAGCAGAGTTACAAAAAAAATTATTTTTTTATTTCACAGCTCAATTCATTTTGGGATTCATGTAAGTTTAATATTTTTATCTGTAATGAATTCATATAAGCTGTTGACAGAGTTTGAATTTATTGATTTAACACAATGTGCATCAAAGAATTGCATGTATTTAATCATTAATGGTGAGTCAGAGTATTCTTTTTAGAAGTACCAGCTTTTTCTGTGATCAGTGCATTTTTTCAACTGCATGACCATTGTTAAGATTCTGAAGTATTCCACACCAAGCTCAGCTGTAAATAATGAAGGTTCATCTTTGCTTGTCTGCTTTCAAGCTATTTTTTCTTCAACTGGAGTGATATATGTTGAAAGTGCAAAATGTGGTTGCCCTTTTCTTTTCATATTGGACTAAGCTATTAAAAGTGCACTCCATGAGATTAACCTGCCAAAATGGATTTTTGCAGTAGTTTTTGTCAGCCTTTTTTCTTCAATTGTTGTAAATGTTGAAACTACAAAGTATGGTTGTGGATTCAATGTTACAATGAGATACATGAAGGCTGTACTGAATCTTATGCCCTTTTTTCTTGGGGGGGGGGGAGGTTTGTAGAAAACCTCATGAAAGTTTATAAAATGTTACATGCACTTAAGTTTTGATTAAATTAAAGAAACTATCCTTTGGACAAAATGATGTCTCTGAAATAAACTTCTCAAGTTTGAATAATTCAGTGAGTTGCAGTGTATCATATCTTCCATTGTGTAGTGTTCAGATAAGTGTAATTTCACCTTCATCTGTTTATGTTGTTTCTTTAGCTGTATTTGAAGTGTGCAGCATAACTGTTGCATACAAAGAAATACATAGTTTAGAGTGAGGAAGACGGAGGGAGAGAATCCATGTTGCTCATTTTGAAAAGTGATAATGGGGGAAAGGGGGGGTGCAGGCCACCCATCACTCATCCTTTCTTAGATCTGTCCATTCTTACACAGCTACCACTAGTGGGCTAGATTTGGTCTTAAAGTGCAATTTAAGTTCACAAGTGATCTTTTTAAACATTACACCATTTTAAACATTACAGCAGTAGTCTTAAAATGAACTGAATCTGCTTTTAAGATCAAAAATGATCTAACATCTACTTAAGTGGTTAAGAAGTTTTCTCCAGTCACAAAGGGGGATACCTCCCCTCACAAGGGTGAACATCTCTGCTCACAAAAGGAGAATGTGTAAAGGCAGACTACTCAATTGGCTGTTAGTCTAAAAATCGTCTTACTCATGGTTTAAGATCATGTAAGACTATTTGAAATCTTAAATTGCACTTTAAGACCAAATCAAGCCTACTAGTGATCTCACTTAAACTTGCAGATGCTTTTGGCAAGCTTTGTTTTAAGTGGCCTTTAACATTATTCTCCACATTTCGCCTTAAGTTAAACCAGTAGGCGTTTCTTTTCCATGGTTTCTTTATTCTGATGGAAATTCATCTGTGTAGTCGTAGAATATGATTAAGGTATAGCTCTATTTTTAGTGTAGAAATTGAAAAGTTTAATACTTGAATCATGGTCTCTTTATGTTTTAACATTATATGTTATAAGTTATTATCATATGGCCAGCTAAGCTTATAATGGTTAGGCAAGAATGAACACTGGTGCATGCAGTAATTATAGGATGAATTATACACCAGTAATGTGATATTTTTTGTCAGCCTTTTAAAGGCCGTGTGTGCGATTTTAAGTTTTGATTTTTAAAGCTCTGTAAACAGGCTGATAAAATGTTTCATGTATGTCACTTGCAGAAGGCTTCAGTATAAGGACTCGTACACATTTTTTTTTTGTTTTTTGCCATTTGTTATACTCTGGAAGGTGATACATGTGTTAGAGGTTTTCCAAGTTAGAGATATAATTAAGGAATTGGGTGAAACCTGATTCTTTGGTTCTATTTTTAAAATAGAACGCCAAAACATCAAAGAATAAAGGACGTCATCTGATGTCAAGTGAATAAGGATGGATATTGTTTTTCAACCAAGTTATCAAATACACTGTTTATGTCACAATGACTTTAACCCTTTATCCCTACATTGTCGCAAATAAGTCGTGTTAGAAAACTGAATATTTGTGACCACAAAATCGATGACCTTTTACCGAAATTCTTTACCATTTTACTGGAAAAGGAATGTCCATGCAAAGGTTTAAAATAAAACAGGTGATAAATCACTTGCTCTAAAAATAATTTTGCGATTTCATTTAGATTTTTGTTTTGTTTTGTTTTTATTAATAATTCTATGTAAAGCAATACTTGAAAATTAATTTTTATGCCCTTTCACTATCACTTGGAAAGGAATCAATTTTACTATTAGCTGAAAATAAATGCTTCGATCATCATTATTATGAGGAAACTATTCTAGGCCTAGGCCTGCCCTTTGTGATACCTTGTTGTTGCTTAGTATACGCGCTATATTTAGTACCAATAATCCTTATTGTTAACAAAAATTGGAAAAAAATGCGTTGTTTACCAAAGCAGCAAAGGATATTGAAAGAGCTTACATAAAAGGGGTCGAGTCGCGCATGCCCAATCACTGCCTGGGCGATGACCCGACAACAGTTTGTAAAGAACCTCTGGAGTCGAGTTGAATATAATTTTAATGAAAGTGATTGGAATTGAATTGTGGGATAGATGACGTGTCAATTATAGCAGGAATTTCCAGGCTGAAAGATTGCTACACTATTCCTTACACTCTTGATAAACATCGTCGCGAACGACCGACGAGTTAGTACGAATTATTCAGTCAAGTACCTTCTGGACAGTACGCTGAAAAGGTGAGTTTTTTTTTTTTTTTTTTTTTTTTCAATTTCTCCGTTCTCCTTGACTTGCAAATATGATCCGTCCATTCAGTTTGACTTATAATTAACAAGTTGCGTCCTCGGTGAAATGCAAATACGTGTAAGGTGTCGTGAGAGAGATGGTCCCCTGTGATATAAGGTCCGGTAAGGAGACACTACGGGTAGTTGTTCATTTTTACAAACCGCTGTAAAAAGAGGGTCAAATGGATAACAGCTCTTCATTTTGACTGGAAAAGTGCCAAAAAACGGATTTTTTCCGGGGTAAGCAGTGATTTTTGTATACTTCCCAATGGTTAATGAATCAATTCCGACATTCAAAGTGAGTCTTTTAAAAGAGTTTTTGTAATTACATCATAAGAGATTATTCTCAGCGGGGTTGGAAACGGGTAGTTCGGTCCGCTCTACTGGTGAATTCAGGATAATTCGGTGCCGAGTCTTGTAGTTGGGTAGGCCTGCCAAAATTCATGTAAGCACGTACATGTATCGGTTTGAGTGGACTGTGCAATCTAAAGTCACAAAGTGGGGATTGGAAGTTCAACCCACATGATAAAAAGGGGATCGCGCTTGTCAGATTTCTATCGGTTATTACACTGCGAGCTGCTTCTGCATAGGATACTGACTGTAGACGCCGATGTTTTGTTGTTTACATTGGCTTTCTCAGAGGTCGGCGGGTATTCTAACCCGCTACAAGAAGTTTGGTGTTCACTTAGGGCCTTGAAAAAAGACATTCTGGTGGCAATTTGTCCCTCATTCTGAATGGTCTGGGTGATTTTGTTTAGTTGCAACAGCATATCGGGAAGGACAGTGTAATGAACCTTTTGCATATACATATGGAATGAATGTCCTTAACTTAAATAATTTTATGGGCCATTCCATGGTATTTTTTGCTGTTACGGAAGGACATTTGACACTTCAAATGAAAATATTTTCTCAGTTTAAAAATGCTTCTATATATAATAATTATGAATTTTAAGTTCAAGATTATCTTGAAAGACATAAGGGTTTAGGGCTCATTGGTCACATGACCTGTTATGGTCCAATCAAAATGCCTCATACGTGCTTCCACTGTGCTAGGTGTCATCTTTAATGCTTATATATTTGGATTTAATTTCTTATTGAAGTGGTTCTAAGCAAAAATGTTTTCATATTTTGTTGGCCCCTATCATGGTTGAGGAGAATATGAAGTTATAAGTTTTTAGCTTTTGTAGTTACTGAGAAAACTTAAAAAATAGATAGGTACCAAAATCGTCACGGAAGGACAAATTGATATTAATGAATCCATTATTTTATAATCAAATATTTTTTAATCTAATGCACTTAACTAAATGTAAGAAATGGGTTATATTTAATGTATTTAGCCTTTATTGTTTAAAATGATCTCTATTATGAAAAATATATCAAAAATAAAAATGTCCTTCCGTGACACTATTTTATAAGTTTTCCAGATAAAAGTGTCAATAAAATCATAATTAATCATCAAAACCTAAAATTTCTTTTGGATTCTGGTGTCTTATGGTGTCTGGTTTCAGAAATTATAAGTTTTATAAGTAGGATTCCTTTTTCAAATTTTGAGGTCTGCGGACCAAATACCACGGAATGGCCCTTGTACGCTTAATTCAAGCGTGGGCTCGAAATAGGACATTACGTTTAAGACTAACTTAGTGGATAACGCAATCCAAAGATTCCACGGTTCGTGTCAGATTTACGTAAGGTCGCGCAAAGAAAACCCAAGTCCACATAATGACCAGTTAAACGATTTATTCGTCGACGCTCGGTAAAACCCCCTTTACACTGGACGTCGTCCTCTCTGTGTCCTTTGTACAACCATGAAACTGGCATCGCTGTGGTCGTAGAAAAGAGGCACAAGCATCACTTTGGTTGCAGAATAAATTCTCAAATGATCGGCCAGCTGTCGACACGTAAAGTACTATTGTTTTCCCCTCTCAAACAGGGCTGAACCATGGGACGCAGAAAGGACACCGTCCAGTGTAAAGGGGACTTAACTACATGTTCTACGTGAAGTCTCCAACTCCTAGCTCTGAACTACTCTGCTCCGTACTCCGTCGCTCCCAACCTCCGTCCCTTGTTCTCTCCTCTCGCTGTCTCTACATGTCCCTCCTTCTATCTGCCCCAATAAATACTAATTTGTTATCTTACATGGATCCAATGCTGCACTATTGTGCAATGTACGTCAAATCTAGTTACTTTTAATTGTAAAGTTAGTTTCTTTACTATGGCGTTAAACAAAGAGGCCGCCACATTACTCAAGAGATATACAACTATAACACATTACGTCGTATGACGTCAAAAGATATCTAACCCATTTCTTACAGACACGACAACAGTGAGTCCTGTACCCTGGTGGAAGGGTTTCGATGCCTGGCCTCTGTAGGTACATCAGTCAAGGCATAACTTAATGAAACTGCGCGGACCGTTCCGTGTGACACAATAATCTGTCTGGCAATGCCAACATTCTGGCACAGATTAAACATTTATGTCTCCTCCATCTCATTGTACCACAAACTTTTATAGTCTCATTCATAGCAAGAAAGAAGGCAACAAGGAATATTAATTGTTCGTGATTTGGCCAAACAAGTCCGCTTTTATTATATAACCCCTCTATCCTAATCGTTTTAACAATAATAACAATGTAGCAAATTGTTGCCTGTATTAAATGTTATGGCCTTAGGGATAAAAATTATATATCAAATATTCAATAAGATTCATCATCCTAAAAATTATGATGCGACGAGTCAGCAAAAGTTATTATTTACCAACAATTTGTGCAGTCAACCTCTGTATAAATGTGTGTTTCACAAAGGCTGGATAAACAGCATGATAATAATCCAGTGGATAAATTTTTATCCAATACCATATTTGGAAAAAAACATTGCCATAATGCAGTTGGTTGCTATAAACATTATAAAAGCCATGATAGTTGCTATCAAAAAAGTGATCTATACCATAATTGGAAAATAAATTACCCATAATAAACAATATTAGTATATTTTAAGATGGTACATTCATTAAAATAATGGGAATAATATCTACAGGCTATTTTAGTGTCAGTGTCAAAAAACAGACCACATTGCATTAGTTGTGCCTCATGTTTTACAATTTGCAGTTGAAGGGAATGTCGTGATATACTTTCTAACAAAATGGCTGACTTGGCACATTTGGCAGATTCTGTCAATAGCAATGTAGATTTTTTTTTCGTCGATTTAAAAGGTATGTTTAAGTAAAATAAAAGATAATCGGTCTCTCACGCAGATTGCATGGGTTCTGTTCGTAGCAGGCGTGATGTCAACTTTGATTAAGTCTGTTATGTAATCAATTGATTCAGTAGGCTATCACTCAGAGCATCAAAGCAAACACACATCTTCTTAAATTCTCTCTCAAATCATTCTAAGCCAGTGAAATCTGATAGGCTTTACTCCCAAAGCAAGCAGGTTCGCCATTTTTGATGATTTAACAGTATGATAGCAGATTTATCCCACCTATTTTGAACGGGCAACTTTATCCTCTGGATAAGCTGATATATCCCCTTGCATTTTTTAAAATATTCATCAGTTCTGTAAGTTTCAAGCCAAAAGGTAAACGGTTTTCAGCAGTGCTCCTGCTGTTGTAAAGCGAATGACTTACTTTTTCACTAATTACAGATAACAATTAAAACGGAATCAATAGAGTCAAAGGATAGAGAGTTATCGAGTGTAAGTTAAGTTTCATCAAGAGTCAACAAGTGTAGAACATGTTTTTAGTGTCAGAAAAAGATGGAAAAGGTCAAAGTATGTAACAGTTTATGTGATTGGTTAATTTCTTTGTATTTTAATTTTTGATTATCTGTTTATCACTTGATAACTGAGTTTTGGATAAGGTCCAAGCATGAGTAATTCAAATAATATTTGAGATATCTTTAATTGAAAACAAGTCTCTTAGGGATTACCTAATAAAGAAATGTTGCGTGGTGACTTGCAAGATGCGAATGGAAAATATTTTGTAATCACGCAAAGACAATGGAAAGAAAAATAAGAAAATGAAAGATCAGTGGGCAAAAATAGAGTTTAAATACTTGTGACATTGCTTGAAATGTTAGTCGGCGAATAAACGTTCGAAAGCTTCAGATCGCCGTCGTTAAGTCTCACTATAACACTGCTTTGCTTAACAGAGGAATCTTTGAGGTAAAGGAAAATATTGCAAAGTCATCTGAGGTCTTATTTTTTAACCAATGGATTCGCCTTTTATCATGTAGCAGTAATGCTTATCCCGAGAATTGGTTATATACTATGACGTATCTTAACGGACGTACGCGGTGTCGGTCTTAACAGAAATTTTGGATTTAAAAATTGTGAAGCTATTTCTTACGAGACATAATTGTAAACGATCGACCCGCGAATGCCGTGACATTCCTGACAGATTGCCCTGACATACGCCATGCCGTTATACTTTGATGATGTTTTAAAAACTGGCACAGGTCATGCCGTACGATGATGCTTTAAAAACATAAACAAAAAAAGTATTTCTATGTCCATTGCTATCATCGCTGTTTGGGTTTAGTCACATTTTTCCAGTTTATAGATAAAGTATTGGTTTGCAATTAGTCTAACATACTAGAACTGGTAAATTCCAGGCTAAAAATCAATGGTTTTTGATAGTTTATTTTGACTCGCTTCTTTTCTGTTCTTCAGGTATCATCATGACTGCTGCAAGGCCCAGCACATCCACAGACTGGGTTGTATGCCTTGAACGTAGCCGAGAAATCCTCCAGACAAGCAAACTTAGCGTAGATATCCTCCTTGAACCCTTGGTATCCAACGATGTTGTGACGACTGAGGAAGCGGCAAATGTCAAACAATTGTCTGTTGTAGCCCCTGCACGAGAGAAAATTGATTCTATTTTAGACCTCCTTGTTTTAAAGGAGTTTTCAGCCTCTGAAATATTTTTCCAAACAATAAAAGTCCATGAGCCATGGATAATAGACAGATTGCAATTGGAAGGTTCGTGCATTTCTGTTTTTAAAATGGAACATTTTGTTTTTCAGTTAGAAGGATAATTACTGTTCGTTTTGGCCAAAAAATGAATTTTCCTGGAGTAAAAACAACTTTCACCTACTAACCAACGTTAGTACATGTTTTTTTTTCTCAAAAGTTTGTATAGCTATCTATGGAAGTCACGTGGTCCAATGACAAGCTCAGATATATCAGAATATTATTCTGATACATCTGATATATATATATATATATATATATATATATAATCTCCATCAAACCTCAACTTACAGGCAAGTCTCATTTAATTTCTAATTATCCTGTTATCACCTCTGACCGAGAGGTTCCATGAGATTTCAAACCCATTGTCAGTGTTTTTCTAAGGAAATAAAGCAAACAATGTAGTTCAATATACATGTATAATATTCCTTATTCCATTTAAAAGTTCACAAATAAAATTCAATAACTACATTTAAGTTCCACCTTTTTTTCTTATCCATAACTTTAACATAATTGTAGGACAATCCCCACCCCCAAACATCCTCCCCGGACATCTCCCCAGGCAATTTCCCCAAGGAAAAAAGTTCTTGTATAAATCGTGAAAACATGTCCCATCCGGACTTGCATTCCTTGCAATTGGATTTACATTGCTTGGTAACTGTTGTCCCAAGAACGTTAAATCCTAGTAACGTATGTCCTTGGACATCCATTCCTAGAAACGCTAGACCTAGGACTTGCATTCTCAGGACCTAGTGCCCGTTCAGACTTGCGTTATAAGGACTACCATTCCGTTCACAACGACATGAAACGGTATGACGAGTTAACCGAAAACTAAAGTTTTCACCACGCTGAATACAGCATAAAGGAGAAATAAATCATCAAGTACCAAGTCCAATACAATATAGATTATCCCCGCCCGGAATTTCAAATTTGTCTCTTCGATCTTGGAAATTTTTTGGAAGGCGGAGGGGATCAGGGGGGGTCCTGTTCCCCTCGGTTTCTGAAAACAAAATCACAGCAATAGTCCCCTCTTGAAATTAGAATTTTAATTAGCTAGATCATAGTTCTTAACTGTACCAAATGGCACCATTCGCCCTCTAAAATACTTATATTTTGCGGTGCCCTTCAGTGGGCCCCGAACCCCACGCCAAGGGTGTGGTGGGAGGGTGGGCTTGGCATCCGCACCCCCCCCCCCTTCAAATGATCCTGGATCCGCCACTGTAAATAACGTCAAAGATTCATCGAGAAAATATATTTTCAGTACCATTCGACGAATCAAATTATAGCACACGTATCTAAATTAAAGCCAGATGACAAAACTTACCTCTGATTTTAAGTGATTTTCGTCAGCGTATTTAAAAGCGTGCTGTCCTATACAGAATACCAAAAGTGCCCAGAGCACATTTTATGGAATATCTCGGTCAGAGGTGATCACAGGATAACCCAGGTTTTTCTTGTAACATATAATCAATTGCAAAGACAAACACGTTTTGTTTCAGGAATTCCCGTGAGTCAGTTTCTGGAATGTGACGATCTCACTTCTGAAGTTGATAAACTGAAAGTGACAGAGAGTGAGACATCTGACAACACTGCTCCTCCGCGACCGCAAACTGTATCTGAACTTGAACAGGAGGAAAACTGGGACAAGCTACCGCAGTTGTGGTTTAGAGCGACGGAATTGCAATTTGGAGAGGGCGTTCCAGTGGTTCCTCTCGTCCAGGTTTTCTTTGATTCTATCTTTCCGGAGGTAACGAACGATCTTGTTGCAAAATACGTGAAGCAGAGTGTGCATACGGACGGGCGTCTTACAGTGGAGCGACAATTTGGAACATATGAGAATTTCGTGAACGAAACAAGAGGTGCGGTTGGCATTGTCACGATGAAAAAGCTACCAGAGGCGCAGGTAAATAGTTTAGTTTTAAAATTATTTTATAAATTTTGTTCTGTATAAGACGCAATATTAGAGTAATGGGCCAGTCCATGATATTTGGTCCGCAGACTACAATAACAGCCGTTTTAGTGGTAAAATGCAATATAATATACATGTATTTCTATGCGTTGTTTACAATGTATTTCTTGCGGAACACACATAACACACATATAGGAATAAACATACAAAAAATGGGCCTTCCACTTTTTCACTTTTTTAATGTTTTCATTTGAAGTCTCCAATGGCCTTCCAAAACGGCAAAATATACCACGGAATAGCCTAAATATGATTCATGTTTCTACACTTTTTTCAGGAGTCGGAAGCTATAATACAGATTTATGAATGTTTTCGCAGTATAGGCAGTTCGATTGTGCTTCTGCTCAACTATGATCCCCCTTTATCGACCCAGGCTGAAAAACCTCGTGTGCTCAGATGTCTTCTTAACCACTGCAAGAGGAAGACAACAAAGAGCTACATGAAAGTCGCGCAAGAACTAAGTTTATCAATGGTATTTCAACCTCTTGGAGACGGTGAATTCTTTTACAAGCATATCGAAAAGCTAGGACTACAAACTTGTAAGAGGATTGCGGAGAGGACAAGCTTATCATCTGTAAAGGATGTTGAAAAGATGATAAAAGAGCTAGAAGAAAAAGATCCAGATACATCACCTCTTTCTGATACAGCAAAAAGTCATCTGTTGAAGTGAGTGTGAGCATGTAGCTTTTCGTCTTTTAACAGTCAAAATATGCAAAAACAAAAAAATCACTGTGTGGCAGTGAAGAAATAAGATCATTTATTGTTTTTTCAACCAATTTTTATATGTGATTTATATGTGATTTGACATAGGGAGGCGAAATCGCTTAAACAGATTGTAATGACCAGGGGTCAATTCCATTAAAAAAACATTCTAACTTAGCATTATACTAGGCCTTAGAATGATTCTAAATCCCAAGTTGTATGCTTGTTAGCAATCAACTAATTTCTTTTCCATGAAACCATACTAAGAAACATTCTTACTAGTTGCTTGCTAAGATTTGGCTAGAATGGTGTCTTCATAGGAAAACCACAAAACCACAGGATCAGTTTCGCCAAACAATAGGCAGTGACAGGGTGAAAGTTGAACTTAGTGCATGCTGAGGAAGCACTGGTCAAGGCATTCCCATGTATTCTATAAAAGCCCTATACAAAAAGTGGTCAAACTGGCAACTTCAGCTTCAGGGAAGTGACAACGAAAGCAGAATTATTCAACTCAAGAAAATCTCTTCATAGCCGACACATCCTGCAAGGGCATTTGATACATGATGAATCGCACGCCAAGTGGCTTGCTGGGACACTTGCAAAGGCCCCAACAACATATTGGAAAGTGCCCGTTGCATAGTACTGCAGGGCTATCATTACCTGCTGGCATGATAATAAGGCATGATTTCTCCTGGTAGGGTGGGTAATGTCATTTTTGACAATGTCATTTATCAGCAAAATGCCTTCTCTGGAAAATCTGTATCTTTTTACAAGTTCCACATCTCCAAAATTCCAACGGATTTCTTCTATCCCGAAACACTCGTTCCCGCCGCATTGCTCTGCGGAGTTCCACAATTTCTAAAATTCTCCTGGCCATACTTACACCTCGGAGGTATGAGTAGAAATGAGTTAGAATGATACAAGTGATTTAGAAGATACCAGACCTACTCTAACTTTAGCATGAAACTTACAACTATACTAGGCTTAGAATAGAGTTAGTATGCAACTAGAGATAGAATGAAGTTTAGCAACCAACTAGGGCTTAGAATGCTTTTATGGAATTGGCCCCAGGTGTCTGTTTGTTATATGTATGTAATGCACATAATTGTGAAGTCTAATGAACATATCTATATGGAATTTAGACTTAAAATAAATAAATATATTATTATTATTATTATTATTATTATTATTATTATTGTAAGTACAATAAATGCGAGTATGTTGCATAAATATAAGGCTATTTGCACATTTTTTTCAGATTTCCCTTTGTAAAAGGGTTCTGTGTTATGGCCGAGACACCTCATATCTACATTAATGAAGAACAGTTCGGTAACCGTGAGTCACATAAACAGGTGCACGATATCATATCGCCCTATTTTGGTGACCATTATTTTATTTTGAAATACTGTAAGAAGTCTCGTTTTGTACCACTTGTCTCACTTAAGCCAGGAGAGGCTATATTCCGCAATCCTTCCGATCCAGAGAAATACGGAACCCTTGGTGCTTTACTTAAATTGCACCGCGGACCTGCGTCTGAGAAGCATGATTGGTATGCCCTAACATGTGAGCATGTTGTGGGGAATAGTGCTTCCATGATGATAAAAATAGGGGGAAATACGTTTTCTGACTTTGGCAAAGTAGTATACAAGAGAGATATCACTAAATCAGAAAAGGATATAGCCATCATAAAGATAAACCGTTCGTTTTACCCCACAAATACCCGTGGACACATTAATGTCCGTAGAGACCTTAAAGGAATTCAAATGCAGAAGGTCCTAAAGATGGGAGCTCAGACCGGGAAAACATACGGCATTGTGGTAGGCACTGATTGTGAATTCCCGGATTATGGTAAAGAGTTTATACTGCTTTGTTCAGAAACACTATCAGCTCGTTTTGCAGAGGGGGGTGATAGTGGTTCTGTCGTTTTATTAGAAGATAATGGCGAAGTAGACGCATTGTCCATACTTGTAGGCAAATTTGACAGTCGGGAGGACGTTCCTCAGTTGCAAGGAGTAGGGAGTGACCACACTCCACACCCGGGGCTGGCAGAAAGCGAGCACCCCATCGCTTGTGCCAGCATAGAAGATAGTGCCGGTTCAGCGTCTGATATAAGCGGTCATTACGAGGGTATATTTTCGCCCTTCATTCCAAAGAACACACAAGTATTTTATTCCGACACATTGACAGCATCTCTGGATCAAATAAAAAATAATCAGGAAAATCATTTGGGAGACACAATTCTAGATTACATTGATGAAGTAAGCAGACACCACAGTCTCTTATTCGTTTGCGGTGTTGATCCAAGAAAGCCAGCTGAAGCAACGTATTGCATGCTATGTAGTCGAATCTATAGACATAGGCATAGGCTTAAGTCCTCGATTATCCTCGATGGCAATCCACATCTATGCAAAGAGGCAACTGCACTTTTTATGCCTCGTCACGTGAATAACGAACACCTCAAGCACAACTTGGCACGTAGATACAATGCAATGTATGCGCGATGCAAATTCCCTAGAATGTTGAAGCATGCATCAAAAATTAGATTGTATGTTCAACCCTGCGAACTGAAGGCGGGGAGGAATCAAAAGCATGATGATGATATTGATGCTAGTACAATGCGTGCATGGGAGGGCGAATTTAAGTCACAAACACAAATGACATTTTCTAAATTTTTATCCACTTTCTGGGTACATTTTGCAAAGTATTCCTGACTAAACCTTTAAGCACGGTAAGCAATATTTCAAAACGCCCCTGTGCCAGCCACGATGACCTATCTTTCACTGCAGCCCCAATGCAACATTGTATTCGCAGTTTAGAGTCTACCAGCCATGCTTTGTCGGGCACAGTTGGCCTTCTTTGCATTGGATAAAACTGGTCAGTTCTACATGTACACTGACTGCAGTGCTGTTGCCAATTAAGTAATCAAAATGAAATAGAAACGTTGTCAAGGATCATGCTCCCTTGAACATTCGCACTATAACGCCATGTAAACGACTAGGTTTATCATGATAAATACGGGCATTACAGTTTGCTCCGTGGATTTGCATAGTCGTAGAAGCCGGAGGATGTACGCCTTAGCTGGCGCCAACCCGTCCTCTTTTTAATCACATCAACCAAAAGCGCCTGAAGCAGAGCCTAGATACTTTTCTTGGTCTTAAAAACATCAATGCCACAAACAATTGAAAATTTGTCAAGGATGAGGAAACTTCAAAGTTAAGATATTCAGGGTCTTAAAAAACAATCGCAATGGTCTAGAGGATCATCTCATAATGTAGTTATACGCTAGATTGGATGAAAGAGCATGCTCTCCAGGTGATGGTATTAAAGATAGATAAATGAGTATATGTATGGGGATTTATGAAAACTGTATTCTGTAGTAATATTAATCCAGACTGGTCTATTAGGGGTGTTGCAGGTGTATTGACTTTTATTAACAATTTTAAGAATATGGGTTTTTTTATAACGAGTGTAAAGATTTTATATAATTCTATTGATATTAAACGGGATCATATACTTTTTGCTTCACCAGTTGCATCGAACAACAAAATGTGTTGTTTGCGTTAAAGATGTAGTTATAGAAAAGAACTCGTGTGCATGTAAAGAAATGTCATAGGTGCATGAGAATAATATTCTTTCTTTTATGAAATACCAAGTCTTGAACATCGTTTTAACTAATATAAAACATGAATGAAAAATAAATGTTAGTTATTTATTTAACTTTTGTAAATATTAGCCTTACAGGACATCTTAAAACGGATTGCTTTGTTAAAATCATAATATAAAACTAAAAAAGGTTATATCTAGATATAAACAGATAAATTAGCCATACTGCAACTGTTGTTATAGAAATGAAGATGTAATTACAGAAGAGTATCACGTCTTAATATAAGTAGACTATATAATACCTGTAAAATAAAATAGTTTTTATCAAATAACAAAAACATATATAAGATACAGACTTGACATTTAATATGGAGTATTTTTTCCAAATCATTTTTCATCAGTTTTTCCTATTTTGTTGACTAATAAATGAAAATAAGGACTAAAATCGTGTTTTAATAACTTTTAATTATCTCTTTGATGTCATTGTGACATCAGTTCGTTAATGAAATTTGCCAGAGAAGCTAACCAAAACACATTGAACTATTCTATGTCATACGACAACCATTAAAATATATATTTTGGACCTCCATATTTTCCAAGTTATTGTCTGTAAAAGAGTTTCACGCTCCACAAAGGACCCTCATGTCAGTGTCTAGTCACAGTAAGGGTCGTTGATACGCCTGACCTCTTCTGGCTGCTACCAGGGCTCTCAAGTGGCAAGGCATTCCTTGGGATGGGTTTTTAAAGTTCAATCTGGAATAACATTCCAGGCATCGGTCAAAGTCTGTCCAATTTGGTCCAGTTTTGTTGTAGGACATGTACCTTCTGTAGGCCATTGATTCGGGAAGTAATGGCCTACCCACATATTGTCTATGTGGTTCAAATATGGCGATTTTGATGACCAATGTAGCTGTTCATTACCTTGGTTCTGTAAGTTATCTGCTATTAAAAGCGTTCTGTGTGAACCGGCAATCTCACCGTGTAACCTAAAATTGTTCCTAAGTTGCCCCCTATCAAATGATAGCCAAGTGGTTCCCAGAGTATTTCTTTATTTCATCTGGTTCAGGTTTTCGTCGATGACTACCATTGGTGTTTTGGCACCAATGTGGTATCTACTCCAAATACTGACGCTCTTAATGACCTTAGTCAATTTAGACGCAGCACATGCTTCGTCGTTGGTCTCTTCTGGATGTCTGTAACTTGACTGTTGAGTGGTACAGGTGAAATCTGCCCTCAATAAAGAAAGCCACGAGTATTCAGTGTTCTACCCTGAAGGTGAAGGGAAAACATCCGCCTTAATGCAGGCCATTCATCCATTCTTAAATCTGTCTATTCTCACACAACTTCTCACTTAAGATTGCAGATGCTTTTTGCAAATATTGTTTTAAGTGATCCCTTTTACATTATTCTTCACTCTTCGCCTTTAGTTAAAACAGTATGCGTTGTCTGCGTGGTTTCATTTCTTTATATTTAAACTTTTTACATGTTAAAGGTCTTATTATGACATGGTTAGTTTATAATGGTTAGGCAAGTGGAATGGACCCACAGGTGCATGCAGTAATTGTAGGATGGATTATACACAAGTAATATGATATCTTTTACCAGCCTTTTGAAGGCCATGTGTGCTATTTTAAGTTTTAATTTTTAGAGGTCTTTATACAGGCTGAAAAAAATGTTCCATGTATGTCAATTGCAGAAGACTTCAGTATAAGGACTCGTACACCTACTTTTTTTGCCATTTATTACAGCCTTGAAGGTAATACATGTATCAGAAGTTTTCCAAGTTGACGATGTAATTAAGAAAATGGGTGTAACCTGAATTTTTGGTTCTATTTTTAAAATAGAATGTCCTTGACGTAGAAAGAATAAAGGGCATCATCACGATGTCAAGTTGATAAGGATGGCTATTATGATGTTTTTAAACCAGATTATTGATTACAGTGGTTATGTCACAATGGCTTTAAATTCTTTATCCCTTCAATGTTGCGAATATGTTGTGTTAGAAAACTGAAAATTTGTGACCAAAAATCAATGACATTTTTCCAAAATGGTAAACTAATTTACAGGAAACGGAATGCCCATGCAAATTGTGAGATGATCAAAGACATGCCATTTGAAATAGTTTTTTGGTTTCTTCAATATTTTTAATTAAAAACACTCATGCAATACTTGAGAGTGAATTTTTATGCCCTTTATCTATCTTCTTGGAATGTAATCACTTTTACTATTGGCTGATATATAGGAAAGTTTTGCGTAGTCAAACGACATTTGATGGCGACAACACTCTACTGAGCTTATTTACGCACATGCGCATTCTGCACATGCTAAATTGTACCCTACACCCCATTCTCATAGATTAGATCGACCTACATTGGATCGACCTAACTCCCTGGGGGTTCACGCTAAATAGCTGTCAGCCGGGCGGACACGAAAGTTAATTACCCTTTATAGCTTGTAGTAGGCGGGGACGGACACTTAAGGCGGATTATCTGACAGTTATCTAGTGAGACTCCCCGCGGTGATAGATCGATCTAAAAGTTGTGAGAACAGAGCCCTAGAGGGGTAGTCTCCATTGAGGCACATATGTTTCTACTTATACCATGGGGCATCACTGCGTGCCCCCATTTTGCTTGATTCATTCTGTTGACGCGCATGATACGATTAAGCTACAAGTTATCTCAAATCTTCAACTGGAAATCTTCAGTTCAAAAAATTTCAGGCCTCTTTGCAACCCCACTAATGAAATTTGTGCAAATTTGTTGGTAAATAATAACTTTTGCTGACTCGTCACATAATAATTTTTAGGATGATGAGTCTTATTGAATATTTGATATATAATTTTTATCCCTAAGACCATAACATTTAATGCACGCAACAATTTGCTACATTGTTATTATTGTTAAAATGATTAGGATAATGGGGTTATATAATAAAACGGCCTTGTTTGGCCAAATCACGAACAATCAGTATTCCTTGTTGCCTTCTTTCTTGTTATGAATGAGACTACGAAAGCTTCCCGCACGAAAATGCAGTAGTATCGAAGTAGCAAAAAAGCATTAACGCAGTAGTGGTGTGGAGCATATTTGCAGTAGAAATGCAGTATACCCTACTGCAATTCTACTTCAAAAATTGCATAGGTTTGTACAGAGGAGGAGCATAAATGCAGTAGATTAGCAGCATGATAGAAGCATGTTTCAAATATGCTAATTAGCTCCCACATCGAAGCAGATTTGAAGCATGTTTGCAGTATGATTGCAGTAGTCTACTGCGCTGGAGTATCTACTTCGTTTTTGTGCGGGTTGTGGTACACTGAGATGGAGGAGACATTAAAATAATGCGATCGTTATCATAAGAGATTAATTCTACGTCTGTGCATTTTGATAACCAACATGTTGCTGAGTATTTGCGCTTTATATAGTACTTTAAGTCCCTATTGTTTGCACAACTGGAATGAAACGCGTTGATTATCAAAGCAGCAAAATATATTGTTAGAAGTTTGAGTTGTGCATGACAAATGACTGCGAGACCGTGACTCGACAACTGTTTCTAAAGAACTTCTGGAATCTGGTTGAATATAATTTGAATGAAAGTGATTGGAATTGAATTGTGGGATACATGACGTGTCAATTTTAGCAAGAATTTCCCGTTTTCCAGAACCTCCATAAAAAGGGGGTTAAAGCACGCTCGGCCGTCACCTTGATTGGTTAGAAAACGATTGTCATAAAATACCTACATGATTTAAAAAACAGGTACAAAAACTTAATAACCGCATAAAACGATCTTACAGTACAACACAAGTCTACCATAAAGCACAAAAAATCGGTTAAAGTATTCAAATCTTTTAATTCATATACCTTAATTTTTACTTTTTCCTTGTTTAGATGCAAAGTGTTTAAAATAAAGTAGTCAATTTTTACGTCTTTTCTATAAACACCCCAAATAGGCCAGTAAACGAGGTTGCAAAAATTGGTGACAAAGGTTTCTCAACTGATTCTGGTTCTTTGAAGGCCAAATATAGCCCACAGAATTTCCCTCATGAATCCCCCCATGGCAAAGTCCTGTTTTCGGCGAAAATCCAAAATGGCCGCCATTGAATGGGGTGAGTCACCTTGAAGGTCATATCTTGGGAACCCAATGTCACAAAAACATATTTTAAGTATCAACTCCTACTAACTGAGGGATCCCCACTCTTTTGCAACTATTTTCAAGAACACTGGAATTCAAGGTCATGACCCAATCACAAGGTCAAGACATTTTACGAGCAAA